CTGAACTAAAGAAGTCACTCGAGGACAGACTAGAGTCCGTCCTAGACCTGCTAGATCTCGAGCACGGCCATAAAGACATGTGCTGTGCCGCGGATCTGGTAGCTTACGCGATTGACTCGCAGTGGCTAAGCGAGGAGGACTTTTTCTGAGATTCTCATCATTAATACACCTGCATCTGGGAGGCGTCATTTTGTCTTATTCCGGAGTTAGTTATATTACAAGCATAAGGGGTGATCGCAGGGGTAGCATCTTGTCCGGACGTTGTACTATATTTTTTCTTGGATCAGCGTACTCGCACTCGCACAGCCATGGTCAATTTCGAGTATTCTACATTTTTTTTTGGTCATGTCCATCTTTGAAGTGGAAGAATCGTCCAATTTTACTATTTTGGCTGCAATACGAGGAACTAGCGCTATTTCATTCTTCAATGCCATTAAAACCATCCTTCCACGACAGGACAGCCCCAGCTATGAATCCAAGTGCGCAACTGAATGTGGGTGAGGAAATCTCAGGTACGCCCGCTGTACAAAGTGAGGAAGCAGACTCCCGAGGCTACATGATGTGAAGACAGCATTGAACTATACCATGCTGTCTTCCTCATCCCGGCCATCGGCGCGAGAGATTATCACCTTCAACGGAGGCCTACTCCACAAGTTGTAGGACTCCTGATTAGCCCAGTCCTCGCTTTCAGGGCATAGTTCCATGTCCAAATGCCAGATGACCTTGGCTAGGATGAGCCGCATTTCCGCATTTGCTAGGCTGGGACAAATTAGTTATCTGATGAATTGGGGGCAATCTATTGAAGGTTTCGAATCGGGCTCCAAACTGGAATCACTCACTGTTGGCCAAGACAATTTCGAGGTCCGTATGAGAAGGGCTGAAACGCCTCTTTCTTGTCCATAGCGAAGCGTCCATTTGTTTCTTCCACGGGACGTGCGAGCCAGCGTTCGGGAATAAAGGAATCCGGGTTGTGGAAGTTCGTGCTTGAGTGGAAGGTCGACCAGAGTGATATCGAAACCGATGTCTACTTCAGAGTCAGAAGAAGGGGATCAAAGAGATTTCGACTTAACTCCGGACTCACCCCACCAGACACGTATTCTCCATTTATCATCGCTCCCTCCTCGGGAACAAGCCGCGGTAGCATCGCAGGGATCGGAGGATAGATCCTCAGACTTTCCTCGAGCACGGCATTGAGGTAAGAAAGCGTGGCAATAGAGGATAACCGAATTTCCGATGGATCGTGGAACCTGTCCCGGACTTCAGTCACCAGTCGCCGGTAGACATGCGGATTCTTCAGAAGATAGAAGGTACACCCAGACAGCAACGCAGCCGTGGTCTCACTGCCAGCCAGAACCAAAGTCGCAGCGTTAGCGTCGATTTCTTCCCGCGACATGCGGTTCTCGTCGTCTTTATGCCTGAGAATATACGAGATGAAATCTGGACGGTTTGTCTGTCTGTGCAACCGACGGTTGACTTTCTCCACGGTTAACTGGAAACTTGCCTCTCGTCGCCGATGCAGGTAGCTCGGAACCAGCAGCTTCGTCAAGGGGCTCAGGAAGGGGAAGAACCAAAGAATCCTCAGATAGACGCTGAGCTTGACTGCGTCGAGCATGATGGATACCCACCAGTGATACTTGCTATCTTTCAGGCAGTGAAACGGCTCGCCAAAGGCCAGGTCACCGATGAGATCAAACGTGGTGAAGTTGTACCACCTGGTGATATCGACAACCTCCGAGTGTGAATGATCGAGTTGCTCGCGCAGCTTTTGGACGAGAAGATCCGCATACAAGTGCAGTAGCGGCTCCTGCTCCCGTAGAGCTCTGTCTGAGAACGCATGGGAGAGGAGCCGTCGCGTGCGAATATGGTCGGACTCTGCCGCTGTGATGATTGCGTTCACGCCATTAGGTGTCGGGACATAGAGGGAAGGATCCTTGGAAAACGTTCTTTGGCCCTTTTTCGTTCTGTGTCCATATATCTCCTTCCAGGCCTGTGGAGCTCGGTAGACGAGTGCATTGGGCCCAATGCGGACCACGTCGCCATATCTGTCATGAAGGTCTTTGACTTTCGAGTGCACTTTACCGCGAATCTCCCAGACAAGAAGCGCAATTGGAGATATAGCAGCAATTTTTGGTCCTGGATATCGGCTCAAAGGATGAAAGTATATAGCATAGACTGAATGACCGATTAGGTAGATACAGCCCTGTCTGTCTGATCAGCATCCGACGATGATGGTTTGCGGTTGGTGATAGCTTCTCTACGAACCAGAAGAATGCCCCAACTCAGCATTGCCGAGAGCATGAGGCCATCGAAGACATCATGAAGCCACGGAGCCATTTCAAGTCAGATGATGAAGTTTACTTGTAGTAGGCCTTGAGATGCGGCGATGTTTCTCATCAAGATTAAGGATTGAGGACCGCGGATCGTGAAGTATACACCGAGAATATATCGGTGGTGAGAGATCACCAGCAGTGATTTGAGAGTAATTCGGATTAGATGATAAGATCAGGGCGAATTCAAGTACAACGGATGCAGGCCAAAGGCCAGCTAGATGCTCAGCCATTGGCGTCTATACATGGCCTGATCACTCACTGGCCCTCACATCTACCTTATTTGCAGCATTAGTGTAGAGCCGATCAAATCCGGATGCCTTCACATCTAGAATGACTGGCAATGAGGCACTATCTTCAATCAGGATAGCCAATCATCTTGAAGGTGGACCGCGAAGAGCGCGTGGATGTTGAAGGGTTAGCCTTAATAGGAAAATGTGTGGACAGGGCAGAGGTAAGGGCGGTTGTCACAAAGTACGAGGGGGCAGTGACACGTTGCTGCCGAGAACCAGAGAACAAAGGAGTCGAGTCAGGGTTCCCATTCAGGTCTCTGTACAAAAGATAGAATGGCGAGGCCTCATATTCGACAATGCAACAAATCTAACACTATATGACCATCATGAGCCGTGAATATTATAGGTCAAGCCTATCTCATCTATATGCTCTTGCCTCCCAGAGGACATTCATATGTTGGCGACAAGGAAGCTCATGAGACTTCCTGCAGCCAGGCCACCCACAAGAACCATGCTCATGAATCCACCAGCGGCCTCTCGCTCATCCGTAGAAACCCATTGGCCAGCTCCCATCATACAGCTGCTGCCAAGGTACCCGTTGGAAACCCCGAACAAAAGCTGCACGACAAAGAGATAGAAGAAATCACTCTGTACAATGGCCCCTCTCCCGCCAATGTTACAAAGCAGGTAAAGTGGGATGAACCCAAGTCGGGCGACAGAAATGAGGAAAAGAGCCCAGGGATGATGGGCTAGTGAAAGACTGGGGACGATGACTGACATTCTCCCAATTAAATCACCAGCATTCCAGAAGAGAAAAGCCACTGGAATGAAGACTTCTCGAGAGAATAGCCGGGAACGATCGGGATCTTGCCGCACGGACTCGATTCCTGCGGTGAAGACCGCATACACCATAGTAACCGCAAAGCAGAGGAACAGAGCCGATGCAAGAAACCGTAGCTTCTTGAACAGAACCCACAGACTCACCGTCTTATGGGCATAATCAGAGGAAATTGAATCATTTTGCTCGTCTGGCAACTGTAGGGATATACCCGACCGTCGTCTGGCAAGGGAAAGGAAGGCGACCAGCGACAAAGCAGCAATGGCCGTGGCGGTGACAAAATACATGAAGGCGGACTTTGACGAAGCCTGCGGCATGTTTGGTCCCTTTCTCTCTGGCACTGCCAAAGCAGAGATAATTTGCACCACACAGGGAAGCACGCCGGCTACACCCTGTCCTGCCATAATTGCTTGTGTATATTCTTCTCGTCCGAACCCAGACACATAGGCAAAGACACCATTCTGGTTGATGCCAGTTGCTAAGCTTGCCCCAAATACCATGAACATCAGAAAGCTGAAGTATGCTTTAACATCGACAGCTTTCATGAAGACTGTCGAAAGCGCCAACAGAGAGAAGACGACGATATTGATGAGTAGAGAAAGCGTTACTCGTTTCGGGTATGACGCTCCTTTTTGCAGTTTGGCGAGAATGAATGCGGAGCCCAGGTTAGTGATAGTCGAGACTGTCAGTATCGAGGGTTGGAAATGGGTTGCTGCCCAGTTGTCCGACCGGAAACGGAGATAGAAATACGGTGCTGCGGCAAGAAACATGTTCCTAATCCAGGTACAGCAGAGTCAGAAAGGTTTCAGGTATAATCGGTAGGACAGAGGTGAGGATGGGGAGGGAGGTAACACAGTGTGAGGAACGTACCATGCCCATAACATTGACACTCCCAGAAGAAAGAATACAGCATATTCATATCTGGAGAAAGGCGATTCATGCTGTGATTGAGGAGAGATTGAACCATGATCATCGTCATCAACCTCCGTAGGGTGCTCTATCGGCTCGTAGGCCGGTGGGCGAGTGATCAACCGCCGAATGCGATCCATCGCTGTTCTATATGGCTCGTTCAGTCCTTTCCAACAATGGGAATTGGATAGATCAAAAGGAAGCAATCAAGCCATGGTTAGCATTTGATGGCTTCTCAGAATCACAGCCCGCCATGAAGTCAAGGTGCTTGACAGTGATGGACAAGATGCTGTCAGGAGGAATAGTGCCAAGACTTGTGACCAGCGATGTCATGTGTTGTTGCCCATCGGAGACTTGACAATCCCCGATTTCGATTCCACGGTTTCAGCGTCCTGCGGATGGAAGCGACTTGTAAACGCGCTGGTTGCGCCTATACTCCAATTTGTCTCACCGCATGTCCAATCCCGAGGTTTTCCAAAGAGACCTGTTTCATCAATCACGATCATAGTGCTGCCAACTTTTGACATTATTGACCATCTAAGAAGAATGTATAGATACAAAATAAAGGGGATATTCTATAGATCAAGATGCCAAACTCGCGAAGAGGGGAGGTAATGTAAGGAAACAAAAATGAAGCGGACATGCTAGGGAGCGTGTTTGAGCCCCTCCGGCCCCGAGAATCCATCTAGAGCACTAATCACTTTTCCGCGACTCAGAGGAGATGTTGATATCCACAGCCGATTCCGTCTCATCTTCTCTCTGCATGTCCCATGTGGTTTCCTGCGCCATCGGGTCGACAGCAGCGTTGACGGGCTGGTCTGTCACCTCACCGCCGCTCATCTGCCATTCCATCAATTTGGTGAAGGCGCCGTCAGGGCGAGCACTGAGCTCCTCATAACTGCCCTGTTCGGCCACCTTTCCGTCGGGACCAAGAACAATAATCGTATCTGATCTCTTAATCGTAGAGAGTCGATGAGCGATGCTGATGGTAGTATTATTACCACGAAGGAGTGCGGTAAGAGCGCTGTTCACAAGAGTTTCCGACTCTGCGTCGAGAGCAGAAGTTGCTTCATCAAGTATCAGAATATCAGGATCTTTAATCAGAGCGCGGGCAATTGCAATGCGCTGCTTCTGGCCACCAGATAGCTGAGCGCCTCGGGGTCCAACTTGGGTGTCGAGGCCATCCGGCTAGACAACACAGTCAGCTATATGTGTAAACTAAAAAAGGTGTTCGAGCCACGTACAAAGTCACTGATAAACTGACAATTCGCCTTGCGCGCTGCTGCAACGATCTCTGACCGTTTGGCCTGAGGCTTACCATACGCAATGTTCTCCGCGATGGTCCCCGAAAAGAGGACAGGCTCCTGGGCAACGACGCCAATCTTTCGTCGAAGTGATTTGGCGTTCATATGGGTGATATCTTTGCCATCGATCAGGACTCTTCCTTCGGTAGGAGAGTAGAAACGGAGCAAGATAGAAGCGATTGTCGATTTTCCACCTCCCGAGGGCCCAACGATAGCAACATTGGTCCCTTGGGGAATCTCGAAATTGAGATCCTTAAAAATGGGTACAGCAGGCCGAGTCGGGTAGCTAAAAGTCACGTTTTCGAAGCGAATGGGTCCTCGCGCAGACACGACCTTCTCACCCTTGGTTGGAGAAATGGTTGGCTGACGATCCTGCAATTCGAACAGTCGACTAGCTGCTCCGACACCTTTCATCAGTTCAGAGTAGAAGCTCGAAAGACCGAACATGCTAGACCCTGCGTATGCCGTGTACATCAGAAATGAAGTTAATTCTCCAATGGTGATGCCACCAGATTGGACCATGCCTCCTCCTACGTAAAGCAATGCCAGGATGGTCATGTTGCCAGCAAATCCGGTCTAGATAAGGTTAGATCTATGATCAAACGGCAGAAATGGATGACAGATGCGTACGGAGCTAAAGAACGTGGCACTGATCAAGGATTCTTTTTTGCCAAGTTCAAAAATCTTTCGCACTTGATTGTTATACCGGTGAACCTCGAGAACCTCGCCAGCAAAGGACTGGCTAGTCTTGACGTTGCCCAGACGTTCCTCCGCGATCTTCGTCAAGGTTCCAAGGTTTCTCTGGATCTGACGACTCAGGTTCCGAATCGCTCGTCCGTAGAAAAACGCCCCAAGGCCGATAGGAGGGAGCAGAAGAGCCAGTATACTGGAGAGCTTGAGACTGACGTAGGCCATTAAACCGAACCCTGCTGCACCGCTAACCGCCGCGCGCAGTCCATCAGACAAGTTCTGTGTAATACTCTTGCCGACAATAATGGTATCAGAGCTAAGACGAGAAATCAAGTCACCGACCCGGTTCGCATCGAAGAACTCTGCATCTTGAACAAACGTCTGGCGGAAGAGTTTCGAGCGAAGTCTGGCAACGATGCGCTCGCCGACGATACGCAGAATGATAATGCGACCATAGTTCGCCGCAGCGCCCAGAGTGAGAATTCCAGCCAACGCACCATAGAACATGGGGAGGCTCAGACCGAAGAGCTCATTACCACCTTCCGCAGTTGTTTTTGTAGCTGTATCCATGATCTTTCCAATTGAAAATGGAACGGACATTGTAATACCAGACGATACCAGCAAGAAGAGAAAGGCGAAGGCGAGCTTCTTCGCCTCCGGTCGAGCGATCCGTAAGAGCCTCCATATTTCCCTGAACCCAGCCTTCTTTCCAGCAGTACCATCTTTGGCGAGCTTCGCCCTGAGATTGACCTGTGCTGCCTGGGCGGCTTTCTCTGATAGCTCAAAGCCTTTCTCGATGTCCTCATGCTCCTGATCTTGGAGAATCTCTGACTTCACTCCCGGACTGCCTGTCGACTCGACGTTCGGCTTTGCTTCCAATGGTCGCTGAGAGGTAGAAAACAGCCTGACGGTGCTCACATATCGCGGCTGAACGGTGGAAAAGCCTTTATTATAAATATTGCCGTATAACGAGGTCGTGATGGCGGATTGACGCGGGCGCGGATTGCAACTGCTGATTATTGACCCGGTGCAACCCGAAAACGGTCGGACGAGACCATTGCGAGCGCTAGGCGTTGAGGAAATTGTATAGGCGTTAGGATATAGCTCTATAAAGAGTCCTTGTCGAGAGGAAGAAATTCGCTTCGTGCTCAACCCTGGAGCCCAGCAGGGAAGCGATCTAATCCCGCGCATCTGGAAGTTTGGAGAGAGGATGCGGAATTGGACGGGGATTCAGAATGATGTCACGGAAGAGAAGTTGGATGCCATATCTCGTCACGGGAACCCTAATGTTGTGCTGATCATGACACTGTGAAGCTCAATTGCTGCTTAAAGAATCGACAGGTGCTCGCAATGCTGATGCGACGTAGGATGCGAGCGTCAGCTGAAGTTGGAACTAGTATCGCTTATTCGGTCGGACAGGCATCGGAGTCGGCAGAGCAGCTTTGCCCAAGGCCCGATTCTGCCATCTCGAACCGCCTTACACGGAGGTTCGGCCGCCATCGAAGCTGATCGAGAGCTTTCGATGCATGTGACTTATATTGAGGTTTACATCTGTTTTGAAGCCACTAATTATTTTGCAGACCTTCGTCGAGTAGCTTGAATCATTCAAACTGAGTGATCTCTAGCAGCTTTTCTCTTGAATCGCACATCTTCTGAACATAATTTTCTCTTATTATCATTCATCATCTACATTGTTGTAATACTTTGTTTCTACCCCACCTATCGCACGCCTCATAATATACCAACAGCAGCTTTGCGTTGAGCGTATTACCACGGATACCACGAATCGCCGCGATGGTCTTGGACTACAGCAAATGGGATGCTCTTGAACTGTCCGATGATTCGGATATTGAGGTTCACCCTAATGTCGACAAGCGCTCCTTCATCAGAGCAAAACAGGCTCAGATCCATCAGCAACGGTACCAGCGCCGCCAGGAGATTGAGACACTAAAGTACGAGCGTATTATAAATGACGGTCTTCTCTCACGTATAGATAAGCTCGTTGCTTTACTTCGCGAGCATGAAGGATCTTCACGGGATCCTGAAGAGCTGGTCTTTCAAGCCGTTATGGAGTCGGCGAGCAACCCCGCTGAGGACCAGCCTCCTGCACCTCCAGAGGGCGTCCATACACACGAAAAAGAGCAACCGAAGTACTCCCAGATGCTAAGTGCTTTAGTTGACCAAGTTAAGAAGGAGATCGGCGAGTCGAGTCACGATAACCGATACCAGGCATACATCAAGGGTGTAGAGGGTCACCAGGACAAAGTACAAGGGTTACAGAAAGAATTGCTGGCTCGCCTTGCGCAGCTGGAGAAGGAAGAGTCCAGCAAGATTACGAGCGATATGCTGCATACTGGATTCGACACATCGTATGTATCAAAATCAAAGGATAAGGGCAAGGCCCCAGCCACGGCGAAAACAGAAGCTGTGGAACTTCTGAATCCACGTGCAGTACAAAACGATGCACCGAAAGCTGATGATGACGAGCAAGTCGACCCGGAAGACGTCAAAGCGAGTGATTTGGCGAAGAAGTTTGCTCGCATCAATAGTAATGACTACAGGGCATTGCTTCAATTCATCTCGGATCACCCAGAGATTCTCGCAGAGAAAGAGACAGATGGTCTTCTAGTTGAAGCTTTCAACAGCCAGATGGAAGGAAAGGAGGAGTATGCTCGTCAATGCGTACACCAGGGGCTGTTGTTGCAATATTGCCGCTCTCTAGGTCGAGACGGAATTTCACTTTTCTTCAAGCGGTAAGTTCAAATCGATCATCAAATGTGTGGAAATATTGCTAAGATAGTCTGGTCAACAGTATCACGACGAAAGACCATCAAGCGTCAACACTGTTCCGCAATGACGTGAACGAAACCTACAACAAAATCAAAACCCGTGCGGCGGAACTCGCCAAAGACAGCTCGGCTGCCAATGATCCTGCTGGAGTAGAGCAAATTCAATTGCATGCCGTCGATCCAAACACCAAGATCACTATCAATATCCCACCTGCGGAGAGCAACGACCCGGCAGAGATTGAAGCTCGTAAGATCTTCGAGTCTTTCTCGGAAGATCTGCAGAAAGCATTGGCCTCGGAGTCCCTTGATGAAGTCAACAAAGTACTCGGTAAAATGCCCGTGGATGAGGCCGAAGAAGTTGTGGAAAAGCTCGGGGCTGGCGGCATGCTAAGCCTTGAGGAAGGCATCGTTGACGCGACCACGGAAGAAGGCAGGAAGAAGCTTGAGGAAATTGAAGCTGAGGGCAGAAAGGAAAGGCATCTTGAAGAGATTGGTGAACCTGGCGGAGATATCACCGAGTTGGATTAACGAAACTTGTGCGAATTTTATGGTTACTTTTTGAGCTGATTGAGTTCAGTCATCCATTCTGCTGAATGCATTGCAGACAGTATCCAGGTCTATTTTCTGCGGCTTTGAAGAACTGCCAATGAAGATCGAGTAGCGAGTGCAAATGGGCTTAGTGGCAATCTACTTCGTGCTACCCCAGGTTCAACACCTGGCGATTTATGTAAATTCTCTGGGGAAAAGCCGTCCGGAAAGCGAACTATTGGAGCACTTATCTAGTACATACACTTAACGAAAATGATAAAGAGAAAGGAAAAGACCAAGGTTAAGAACACAGGTACCAGAAGGATATGCCAGTAGTAAAGGAAACAAAAGCTGTGGCTGAAGCGAATACGCAACCATGAACTGTCAAAGTAGGAAATCTCGCGCTTCAATCATTGTGGATCAAATGATAAAAAGGAAAGCATCTTCAATCGAATCCGTGTAGTGATGTTCGTGAGGAAGATGCGAGAGTGATATGAAACAGGGTGTATTGTCATTAGATAATTTATTTCTTTCAGTGTCTCGCTGATCCGTCGTCCTCCGTCTTGCTTGTAATGTCAACGACCGGTGTCCAACCTCTAGACCCCACTGACACCTGGTGCGTTCTGATCCTTCTTCAGATCAAGCAGCAACTCACGGAAACGCTCCTTGCCTGATCCACTGGCACCACCTTTTGCGCCCTTTCCTGAGATGTCGACGAGCTTCGCGATGCGCTCCCAGCTGGTACCACCGGCAGAGGTGTCTTCTCTGTTGGCAAGGAATTGTTCGGCATCAGCGCGGGTTTGAGCCCTGAGCTTGTCCGTCTTGTTGTTGTAAGATACGTAGAAATCATCAATGTCCTCTTGAGCCTTCTTGATAGTCGCCTCCTTCTTCTCGTTCGAAATCTCTGCACGGCGGGCGATTTCTGCGTCTCGTCTCTCACGCCATTCCCTTTACAATCCATATCGTCAGCGTGCGGATCCTCGCAGGTGGGCGAGAGGAGCATTGTGCAATTGGTAAAGGTTTGAGACGTACCTGACAGGCTCTGGCTCTTCCTCTGGCTCTCTGTAGGAAGGATAGCCAGTTGGTGGGAAAGGGGCGCCTGTTCCAGTGATTGTACCGCCAGGAGCAACTTGCTGTTAAGGATAAGGGTATCAGTGCTCCGTAAACGACATCAGCGCTAAGACGGGCAAAACAATACCTCATTCTGTGTCTCTATAGCAGGAAACGAAGACTCAAACCCGGAAATCTCCTCAGGGGCAGATTCGCCAACTACAGCTCCTTCCGCACCACCCAGTAAATCATCACCGGTATCTCCAGCAACGTGGTCTTGAGCGGTAGCGAATTGTTCAGCATCATCTCCAAGAATAGCGCGCTCCCGAGCGAGGAAGTCGTTTTCATCCGATGCGCCATTGGTTTCGACAACGTCAGTCTGGCCTGGATGTATCCGGATTAGCATCATCAATCATGTACTAGCGGTATTGTTGCGGGCAACCAACCCGCAGAGAACTCCTCCAGCGAGGGGAAACGATCCGCCATTTTTGAGTTGTAATTGATGTGCTAAAAGCCGCAAAACTGACCTGCAAGTGCTGTAGATCAATGTGGATGAAGAAAATGAGAATGAGGTTGAATGTAAGGCTCCAGCTGGCGTCTTGAGGAGGTGTGAATGAGTGTTGATTGAGCCCGGGGATTCTGCCACAGAGGGCGGTCAGGAAGCTTCCGTCGTTGGTGTGGAGCTGGGATGAGCTTCACTTAAATGAACACTGTCACCTTCACATTACTAGCATATCATATCTTCGATGATTCTGCTCTCACCTGAAGCTTCATGCTCTCTGTACATTTCAATTGCCTGACATCAGCATCCATTCATTTGTCAATATAACTCGCTGCTAAGCTTCTCAAATCCGGGGTATTACCACTGGAGCATTCAGTTGAGCTGGTTTTACGCCTCAACATAACCTTCTAGACGCGCTTAGTCGTGGCTTTCTTTCAACATGGCGTATACCGATGATGCTGTCAAGGCCAAACTCTCGGCGCTAAACGAGACGCAGGAGGGTATTGTCACAGTTGCCCAATGGGTCATGTTTCACAGGTAATTGAGCTACAGTAATCGTGAACAGTAGATGCTAATTTACTTCTCACGTTCAGACGGCATGCAGAACGAACGGCTCAACTTTGGCTACAGAAACTTCGCGATTCGCCCGCCCCCAAACGGCTGAACCTGATCTACCTCGCTAACGGTACAAACCCTGCAAATCGGCTCAGTACTCTTGAACTAACGAGTGGTTAGAGGTCGCGCAACAATCAAAAGCCAGGCGGAAGGATGATTTTCTAATCGCATTTTCTCCGGTCGGTACACCTTTGTGCGGTGTAAGAATGGAGGCTAATCCAATGTAGATCATTGCCGAGGCCATGGCAACCGCATACAAAGGTGCTTCAAACGACATTCAGCAGAAGCTTCGACGAGTTGTTGAGGTGTGGAGACAACGTTCAATCTTCGAGATACCTATTCAGGAAGCTGTTGAAGCTCGGGTGGATGGTAAGCTTTTCTTGTTATATTCCCAGCTTTCAGTTGGCTTATCGAACTATAGAGATTGATAAGTCACGGTCGACCGGTAAAAAGCCATTGTTGGGCGGATCCCTTTTCTCGAGTCCGGCTGGTTCAGTTCCATCCGAGCTTCAGCCACTGGTCCCTCTGCAAACAGCTTTATCCAAAGCGACAATGGCCTCCGGCGCGTCTGCTACTGCAGCAAATGGAGAGTACGACAAAATGCATGATCCCACTGTACCCCTACCAACTCCTCCAGTGCACGCTGCACGTCTAAGCCAATTATTGAAAGCGCTTGCAAATGCCGAAAGTTCTGTGTCCGAGGTCATCAAATCGCGCTTGGCACTTATCGATGGTCTTGAGAAGCTTCTTGAAACCAACCGTGCAGCCTTATCAAAAGAGCAGTCCGTTCTCTCACAGCTGTCTGAAAGGAAGGCGGAGACCGAAGCGAAGAAGCGGGACGTAGAAGACAGCATCATGAGAGGACTTTCCGTCGAAAATCCGCCCGCGGCTCACGCTAGCGACGCGAGCGTTGAGGGACAAGCCGTGGTTCGGCCTGAGGTCGAGGCTTTGACGCCCCCGCCAGTGGAAGCAATCACCCCTGTTGGGTCCCCGAAGCAAGGTCCTCAGGAGGAAATTCCAGAGTCCGTGGAGGAGGCTCAGATCGATGGTGGTTTTACGCTTCCAGGCATTGGACAGCCTACCAATATTGTACCACCCGATGCTGATCTACCAGGTCTGTCCAATCTTTCCAGCCTGCTTCAGCACGGCAGTCCCAACGGGGTCAACTCGAAGAAGCGCAAGGTTGCCCACGGAGAGGAGGACTATGCGCAATTCGCCAGCGGCGACCTGGACGCTGATGTCGCCGAGTTACTGAATCAGGAGGGCCATCCCTAGAAGAGGCAGTATCCTTGTTTAAGCATCTGACTTGCCGATCCTATCTCTCTCGTTCGGGCATACTTCCTTATACTTCCGACTCCGTCCCATATTCCCAACATAGCTTCGTTATGGTGTGAAATTACTTCTGGTGGGCTTGGTCTATTCAATCTCCGTCTGCATGTCAGGGATATCGAGCTGGAGTCAGTTTGCAGATCTAGTTCCCATCATACTGTGGAACCTTTTTTTTGTGACTTCTTTGTGACTCTGGCGGCGTCGCCGTTCCAAGACATGAACGCTATATGTAGGTTTCGATGGCTGGTTGAATAACAGGCATTACGCTGTATTTCGCTTCCTATTCGAGTGAAGACGCCGCTGTAAATGCAAGATACAGAGAGCGATGGGCCTATCCGAATCACAAACCTAGATCTAATTTGATCATCGCTTCTTGAAAGCGCTATAGATGGTGATATTATGCATTATTCTTGTCATAACTGTATCTGTGAAGCATGACTACCCATTTATATCCGGTTCGAATAACTTGTCTTCCGAAGACTGAATCGGAAACGGACGCCTCTTTCGGCGATAGACAGACGTGGACGTTCGAGGAAAAAGGCTCGGTGGCTGCTCAGCTGGCGGCTGTTCGACGGGTGGAGGAGAGGATGGTGTAGGTGCTGGTGAGCTATGCCTCTTTGGTTTGACTATTAGGATGATAATCATCCCTGCAATCAGGATGATAAGTAGAAGGAGGATTTTGCGTTTTGTTGTTCGCCGTTGGTAGTTGGTCGCCTTCAAGCAGCATTTGTCAGTCCATTGGCAGCCCCTCGATCTCTTATGAGCGATGCACTTACCACGTTCAGTTCCTTATCCGCTGCTTTAACCTCGGTACCCATCCGTTCGATATTATAGTCTATCCGGTCCAGCATGGTTCCCTGATCGATGACCATCGCTTGTAGTTCACGAAAGATGTCTGACAACTCAATGATACTCTTTGCGATGTCGTTGATCTCCCGCTCTCGTTGCTCAATGGCTGCGTCATGTTGACCGGTGAGTCGCTGTGACGTTTGCATGAGAGTCGATTGAGAGAAAGACTTGTCTGCGTCAGACTCCATTAATGAAGGATCCATGTAAGGATTCTGCGGAGTCGCGGCGCGTTCAAACGGTGCCGCAGCACCTTCCAGTCCTCGTAATTCTGTCAAGTCGCGGGTTACAACATTTTCCCAATTGCCATGAAGGGTAACAGTGCATACTCTTCAGATAAGTGCTCTGCTTCTTCCTAAACCGAGCACTAGCCTCTTGCACCCTCGAAGCCAACGATATCTGGATGTTCTTCGCCATAGTCTCGTCCCCTGCACTCACTCCGCCCTGTTGCTTGGCCTCGCGCACCATCACTTCGATTCTCTGGACCGCCTTCTGACACTGATGGAACCCGCGAGTTATATCCTGCGTGAGTCGCTCGATTACATGCTCCTCCTGCTTCCTTACATCCTCGTCGCCGAAGCTTGGTAGCAGGTGCTTCTGGTGCAGCTTGTCCAGCTGTGCCGATTTTTGCGCAATGTCCGCGAGCAACTCGGTCACCTCGTCTTGCACGTCGACCCACCGCGGGGGAAGCAGATCCATTTCAATGATCGCATCGCCGTCATCTTCTAAGCCGCCGGAGTCAGATATGAGTCTGCGACTCTCTTCGGATTGTGAGGGGGTGTCGGTGAAGCCATTGGACGGCCCGATATAACGTGGCTTCTTGGCTGGGTGGTGCGCGAAAGATTGACGGTAGGAGATATATCTGGAAGGACAGCATTGTCAGCTTTTTCTGCCAGCTGAGGTCCATGGGCTATAGGAGAGTACAGGTTCGTGCGGTCCCGCCACATCGCGACAGGTTGTCTGGGGTATGAGGGATTCCTATGGTAGTCGTTGGCGGAGAGCGGTCTAACTTGTCCGAATCATCGTCGGTCAAAGATGAAGTTCTGGGATGTTGTATTATACGATGGCGGAAAGCAGAGGCTAGCTAGAAGCAGTAATGTCGTTGAAATAGGATAGTGTAAAAAGCGAAGGAATCCGAAGCTTATACTCGTCACAATCACGTTCAATCAGACATCACCAGCATCCGCAGCTCCATCACCAACAACGGCCCACGTGAAGGGGCACCAGTCGGTATGACGCCATGCCTCTTCAGGGAAAGCCGTTCTGATACCTCCCGTAACGGACATGTAATTTGGGCTCCCCCGGATTCATGGCCTCTGCCCTCTGCCATCAGGTCCACGGGTGCCTGGTAAGGGTATTATTACACCCATCTGGGATAAGTAGGTACCTATGATCTTTCTTGTACAGAAAGTAACATTCAGTGACGCTAAGGATATTGTTAGTTTCAACTTCCTACTTGGATGCTACAATATGGTCAGTACAGTGACTCAGTAGAAGTAATTAGTATCAGAGCACTGCTGAATCTGATGGAAAGAGCACCATGGTCATCTAGGTAGATGGATATATCCCTCATCCATGATACATGGAGTCGGGACAGAAGTGACAATCTCCACCGCAAGATACCTTCAGACCTAATTTGGAATCGTTTGTCCCGCATGTTGGTCGATGTACTAAAAATTGTCACGGCCAGGGATACACACATTGGATTCGCGGCTCGGTTCCAGAAACCAGACAGATGATTGAGTTTCTGAAGAGTTTGTTAGTTGTATGCACATTGCATTCCTAAATAATGTATTAGACAATCTAAATCAGGCAATATTGGAAACGAGACTCAGGAACAGACATGGATCCCAAGACTGGAACATTGACAGGCGAGACAGCCATGCTCGGTGTAAAAGACACGGTTTCTACATGACATATTCTGCGCCATTAGAAGATGAATAGAGAGGTACTAGTCGACGATTAAAGAGCACCGCCACCGCTAAGGAACAGTAGCCAGAACTTGTTGCCTTCAAGCTTCACTACTTGCCTTGGATCCACGAGGCGTCGTCAGCACCAGTACCTTGGAATACATAGTAAGAACCTGAATATCGAAGGGTAGGACTTCTGATGACATTATGGGGACTGCTGAGTACAGAGCAAATGCTAAATAAAAATCTCTGCAGCAGAGTCATAAGATCCGAGAGCCTCTGGCCCTCTGCAACAAGTGCAGACAGTGGCTTGTCCTGCCCTGCCAACCTTCAGAAGTTCAGCCCTTCAGCCCTCTTTGGGCGCTTTGGCCGCTGAGTGCTCCGAGCGGGTCACGTTTTCAGGCCGTCAGTCCTAACGATTAAGCGATGGCCTGGTTTGCCAGGCATCCAGCTCGTTCTCTGGCGGGTCCCGTTTATTATTGTCGACTTGGCTCAGCTTCCCCTTAACCACTTCTTCCCCCGCTACCATCACCACCTCATTAAACCACCGACTATCCAACCTTTATATACCCTTTACAGGCCAATCTTCAATCAACTCAACAATTTTTATTTTCTTGTGACGTTCAACATTCCCTTTTGTCACCATGGTACGCATTCTTGTTCTATCGCCTTGCCGAGTCCTGCTGAAAATCCCCCACTTTGCGGGGCAGATCGACTGATATTCTGGACAAAGTTGCTGACGCCCCAATGTCTAGGCCGACTCTTTGACTGAGGAACAGGTTTCCGAGTACAAGGAGGCTTTCTCTCTTTTCGTAAGTGCACTGTTCTAGCCCCTAGTCGTTGCATAAGTGGAATTTCCACAATGTTGAGGATGTGCGCTCACATGAGATTCGACCTATAGGACAAGGATGGTGATGGTTAGTGAACCGCTCCTCGAACGTCTGCTTCCGTGCGACCGTGTGCAAATGCTCAATATCGCGAAATGATCCATCAATACTGATATATCTATGTTTGACTCTTAGGCCAGATCACCACCAAGGAATTGGGCACTGTTATGCGCTCCCTGGGCCAGAACCCTTCCGAGTCGGAGCTGCAAGATATGATCAACGAGGTGGATGCTGACAACAATGGCACCATCGATTTCCCTGGTATGCGATGCATCTGGCATGACTTGGCCGGGAGGGAGGAGAACAACCGCTAACCCGTACTCAGAATTCCTTACCATGATGGCTCGGAAGATGAAGGATACCGACTCCGAAGAGGAAATCCGGGAAGCCTTCAAGGTTTTCGACCGCGACAACAACGGTTTCATTTCCGCTGCGGAGCTGCGCCACGTTATGACCTCTATCGGAGAGAAGCTCACTGATGACGAAGTTGACGAGATGATCCGCGAGGCGGATCAGGATGGTGACGGCCGGATTGATTGTATGTTGATTAAACCGCTTTGCTCTGTTGAATCCCCGGAATATTTCGCTAATTGTTTGTAGACAACGAGTTCGTTCAGCTCATGATGCAAAAATAAGCGTTCCGTTCGGCTGTTCTGTTCATTCTTAGTTAGTCGGGTGTCAATACATATATCAACCCTTCCCGTCTTGATCTTCTGTGCTGTTGCGAGCGTAGTTGATAGATGTGGAGTATGGATCGAGGTTGGCTTTTACGACTCTTCTCCTTCGGTTATTGTGCTTTGCTTCTTGGATGCCAGTATCATGAATACTGTTTGATTCTTCTATGGAGACTCCGAGGCGATTGCTCTGTCTCTGAGTCAAGCGATTCGAGTAATAGATGGAGTGTCTCGATAAGACATTATATGTCTGGCCATATCTTCTATATGGGCTTGGGCTATTGTTTATAGTTATTTCAGGGTGATCGCCTCATTTTGCTTCTGATGGCTCATTGTTCGCCTTTACTCATCACCATACCTGAATTCAGCTCATAGTAAAGTGGTCCCGGGCAATCAGACATTGTATTCATCTGTTGAACCTGAAAATCTCCATAAACTGTCTAGCTAGGTCCGTTCCTGCATCCGGGTCCGGGTCATCGTCCTGCTGTTGGGCATGACCCTCATTCGTTGGTGCTGTTTGTCCTATTTTCTCCTGCGATTTCAATTTCTTCAACTGCTCTTTCACCTCTCTGCCAACGTCCGGTACAAGGATCGCTTCTCGCGCTCCCTCAATCCGCAGCTTGGCCCAGAACTCCCGGATCAGCGCTGCGGTTGCAAAGTACTCCGCATCGATATCTGCGTCTTCTATACTGCCGAAGATCGCGAGGTCGATCCCCGACTCATGGTCATTATCAGAAACGTCGGTTGCCCCACCAATCACCCCTCGTTTAGACTGTACGTATTGAGCCGAGATAGAAGTCACCAGGGACGGGCCCCTGTATTCTATCTCCACGACTGTGCCTCGGACCCGGGCCGCGGGCTGTGTCTGCCGCACGTCCCCGATACGTACTCGGAAATCGCCGACATCGTAGACCATGCCTCCAGGTACAGCTACTGTATGTCGATGGCACCAGAATGGTTGGCAGGCGTAGACAAAATGTTTGAAGAGAGCTCCGGAAGAAGGCAGAGGCACGGTGGTCATGACCATGCCTGAACCATCCGCTGCGGCGGTGTTGCTTGGAGTGGCTGAACCCGAAGCAGGGGTGAGTCCAGGTTGAGGAGTAGCAGCATTCGGGACGGAAGTTTGCCCTGTCTTCTCGGGGCTCTGTGATGTGTATATGAATCCGTGATTGGGATAGTAGGATAATGACAGAAATTGCATGTAGCGCGGTTGAGCCGGTCGTTGGGGCCCTGACCCAGGCACGCAGGAGGGGGTATCCCTCATCAACTTATGCTCCAAGGCCCATCGGCCGATTGCGACAGTTTCCTCTGCAACGGCGGAGTGCAGCCGTTCTGTAACGGCCGCGAGGGCTGTAGACGCATTTGGGTTTGCGGGTATGAAGAACACTCTGCATGAGCAGTTAGCATTAGATGGCTAGAACCAGGACTCGAGACACATCTACCCTGTGATAGGCATCGTATGTCTATTCTCACGAGATAAGATTATGAATCAAAGCGAAGTGATTCGAGTATCAATCTTGTGAATGACAGCTCTGTCACAATATCACCCCAAACTGATTATTAGTAAATGGATTCGCAGGAATAGAATTTTGCAGTGCCGTGGAAAGTGTTCAAAATTAGGCCATAGGCGAGGGCATCCAAAAGGTCAGAGTAAAGGAAACGTCTTCAAAACATCAAAGCAGGTCCGCTCTTGAGGAATCACCTACGCTATTGTTAGTATGGACAAAACAGTAGTCTACTTCCATTGCGAATCAAGGGTCCTTAGCCTACCTCATATCATACGAACAGCAAACGGTGTTAGATTCTAAAGACCTCCAGCAGGAGCATGATCACGTTAAAGAAAAGTATATCGTTGAAAGTAGTGCAATGTTGAGGCTTGAGTAAATAGCTTTATTGATCTATATGAAAACTACGATTCCTCTCAGCTGAATCGCCATGGAATCCCTTGTCGTCTAAGATGTCGAGGCAACAAGGCACCAACTATGCAAACCATGCAAACTGGTTGACATTGAAGGCCGAATCGGCCCTTCTCATTTCTTCGCCATCCAAGCAATGTATTATTTTGAATGACTGAATCTCGCTTACTATACCCAAAAATATTTTTCCTTACTTGCTCTATTGTCTCCTAAGTTTAGAAGGAATTTGGATGAACTGAAGGAGATACTAATATATCCGCGGCAATGCCAAGACGCGGACCAAGAGAGAGGGAATCTGGCCTCCTTGGATCGTTAGGAGGGTCAAACGTAAGAATAGAAGCATCCACCCGCTGGGCCCAGACTTGGTTTGCTTTTCCCAGATCTACGACTATTCGAGGTATCAAGGGTTTTGGGGACCACCGGATTACGCAATGAGGATACCCCGTCCCCTTCGATTTGCACGCCTTTTGTCCTCCTATTCGACACGTCTTTCTCAATGAGCTTTGACGGCGCAGGAACGACATTGCCACGCCAATCTCACGGGCCCCTTATTTCCCACTGCATGCAGATCTCTACCCAGGGTCTTCAGCATACTCCGTACAGAGTACAGGAATCTGAACTCCGAGGGGCTCAAAGAATGAGGATGCGCATCTGAACATCTCACAAGCAGAGCCTACAAATCAACCAGGCTAGAAACTCCTTGCAGTGTTTACTTAGGCAAGAGTGACAATTAATCGCCAGATTTGTCCGCCAATCATTATTATCTATCTAATGCATGGTTTTCAAGGGTTTATTATTAAAACAAAGGGCGATCATGGCCGAGAATAATCCCTGACCCTGACCCTGGGGCGGCGGGGCCTGACGGGCTCTATAGTCTCCACTCACATGGGGAAACTGTCGTGTGTGTATCAGTGCCGCGTCTGGAGCTTCCCCCTCCCTTAATCAGGCTTCTTTCTCAGTCTAACCTCCGAATGCTGCCCTTTCTCATTGATTGTCTACAATTAACATCTGTCAAGCAACTTTGCTTTGGCCATGCTGCATCAGGACCGCCTGATGCTGCCTCTGCCTTTCGTTATTGACTGATTTCCAGCTTAGTGAAGCTCGGTCCTCTCATTGTTCCAAAAGTAGCTGTCCCTGATTGAGGGCGCACCTCATCCTCAGCGCTATGATTCTAGGTCGCAGGCGCTATGCCTTACCAACCATCATTCTAATTCTCATTACCTTCTTGCTTTTCTCGAGTCTACCGCCTGGCGCGGAGCCTCCCTTCGTTGACGACCACTCATACTACGCAGAATATCATCCCCAATCCTCGCAGAACGACAACCGTATTCATTGGACCAAACATACCGAAAGGCATCCCGTCTCGAGTTTCATTCCTCTCCCTACGTCCGCGCCATCCGCAATCCCTCGTGTACAGTACGACTTCACGAAGGAATCATGGTATGGCCGAAGGAAAAGAGTGAACCGACAGAAAGCCGTTAAGGAGGCTTTTAAGCATGCTTGGAACGGGTACAAGAAGCATGCCTGGCTGCGTGATGAACTTTCGCCCCTCAGTGGCCGCTACAGAACCACGTTTGCTGGCTGGGCTGCCACTCTGGTTGACGCACTTGACACTCTCGTCATTATGGGCATGGAAGATGAGTTCAAGGACGCATTACATGCCCTTGAAAGGATTGATTTTACTACCACCGATGCCACCCAGATCAATGTATTCGAAACTACCATCCGATATGTAGGGGGATTGCTTGGCGCCTACGACATGACCGATGGGAAACACCCGATCCTTCTGAAGAAGGCGGTGGAACTGGCCGACATGATCTACGATGCCTTTGATACTAGCAATAGGATGCCTCAGTCTCGCTGGCAATGGAGCAGGTAAGCTCTCATAATAGCCAAGGAAGCCCGATCATGATTAAGGGATAATGCCCTGGCCGTTGTTTCCGGTCCACTGAAGCTATTGTTAACTAAGCCATAGATCTGTGCGGGGCCTGCCCATTCAGCCAAGCAAACAAACTATCCTTGCGGAATTGGGTTCCTTGAATCTGGAATTCACTAGGCTGTCTCAGCTGACTCATGATCCCAAGTATTTCGACGCTGTCCAACGAATTACAGACATCCTCGAAGACGCTCAGAACAAGACCAAGATACCCGGACTGTGGCCCATGATGGTCAATGCTCAGGATTTAGAGTTCACAGACCCTCGCTTTACCGTGGGTGGAATGGCCGACTCAACGTATGAGTATTTGCCGAAAGAACATATGCTACTGGGAGCTCAGACGGATCAATACCGCAAGATGTATGTTGCCGCCATGGCGGCGATCAAGAAGCGCTTATTGTTTCGGCCTATGACCAAGGATGGTGAGGATCTTCTCTTTGTCGGAAATATTCACACGAGCGTCGCAACCAAGTCGCCCCCGGAGCCTCAATGGGAGCACCTGAAATGCTTTTTTGGGGGCACTGTGGGAATCGGGGCCAAGGTTTTCAACCGCCCGGAGGACCTCTCGATTGCACGAAAGCTAACAGATGGTTGCATCTGGGCATACCACATCATGCCCACCGGAATCATGCCGGAAAGTATGCATCTCAGCTCTTGTCAGAGCATGGATAGGTGTGAATGGGACGAGCACAAGTGGTATCAAGATGTCCGGGGGCGACTGGCCAAGGGTTCAAAAGCGGAAGACACTGTTCAAGAAGCCAAGACAATCATCAAGAACAGGGGACTTCAACCAGGCGTAACTGAGATATCGGACCCAAGATATTTGTTGCGGTATGTGATCTGTTGACCATTTTTCGTCTTGCGTCGGGTGCAGTAGTGCTGATTTGTATCGTAGACCCGAGGCTATCGAGTCTGTTTTCATCATGTATCGCATCACTGGGGACAAGAAATTGCAGGACGACGCATGGAGAATGTTTCAGAGCATTGAGAAGATGACTCGGACCAAGCATGCTCATGCAGCAATTGAGGACGTGGGGAACTTGAATACGGTCCAGTTAGATTACATGGAGAGTTTCTGGTTGGCAGAGACCTTGAAGTACTTCTATCTCATATTCTCCGAACCAGGTCTTGTCAACTTGGATGAATACGTACTGTAAGTGCTGTTGCCTTAGGAGTTTTTACCAAGGCTAATGTTTAAGCAGGAATACGGAAGCGCATCCATTCAAGCGTCCCGCCGCTCGTACATAGATATCCCAATGAAAACCCTTCCTTTGCATCTCAGTACGTCGGGCCTTGTGCTTTTGGCATAATAAAGTGGCGTTTTGCCTAAGGAGAGTTGTCTGATAGTTCTATTCACTGATTATGAATGGCAAATTCATGAGAAATAGACAACATTGCTCATCTGGAGCATTTACTTCTCAGTCTCGGCCCGGGCTCCCTAAACTATATAGTAGTCGCTGATGAATTAACATTATACTATCTCTACATATGGTACACAGTGTTGTACTATGACTCACTCGTTACATAAGTATCCCAGTACTGTGCATCAGGATTAACACCCGCGTCTGACCTTTTCCGGTTATACTCAACCGAGTACTGCACATCCTTCCGAATGATCATCTTCGTGCTGCCATCACTCCCGGCACTGGCCAACCCCTTGCGCTCCGCCAACTCGATAGGCTGCGATACAGCCGCAGCCGTAGCTCCCTCGGCACCGATCCCCCCAGCAGCCAAATACCCCTTCTCACAGTCCCCCGCATGCCCACTCTTCCCCGTCCGACGCTCCCACAGGAGCGATCTCCACGTCCTCCTCTCCTCAGCCGCCAAAAGCCCGACCCTAGACCGCGGCGCAGACGCCGCGCTCCGGGACTTGGACCCGGAGCTGTTGTCCTTCGGCGTCGCCGAGGCAGATGCATAGCTACTTTTCAGGTTCGAGTCACCCGCCGTGCCGTAGTTTGTGCTCACGGCCGCCATGAAGGGCCGCAGGCAGAACACGCTGCATGCGGTCAGAGCGTAGTTGAGCTCCACCTGTGACCAGATCTTGGATGTGACGACCGAGAGGGTCGGGTCTGGAGAGTGGTAGTGGCCTTTCAGGGTGTAGATGTGGAAGATGGTGCAGATGATGAGGCTGGGGTTGTTAGACCTCTGTGTGTGTGTGTGGGAAGCGGGGAGGGTGTTGGGCTTACGGTAGTCGGAAGAGAAAGGCAGAGCCGATTTGGAGTTTGCGTTTGAGGGGCATGAAGAGGCCCTGGAGGAGGGTGACTGCCAGGGCGAAGAGGATGAGTTCGGTGAGGATGTCCATTGCGGTTATGAACTCCCATCGTCCGAGCTGGATGTGGGTGAGTGAAGGGGACAGTAGGTATGTGCTTTCAGAAGGACGTGGCTCACGAGGTTGCGGCATTGGCCTCCCGATGTCTTCCAGGGACGATTCATTTCACAGTTGACGGCGAGGATGAGTGCGCTTGGGATGATCCATAATGTGCATAGGATGAGAGTTGCCCAGGAGATCCGGTTGTGGGTTTTTTGGGGCGTCAGCCGGAGGTAGATGCCCACGACGCAGCATTTGGAGACGTAGATGGTGATTAGGTAGAGGATGTCGCTTATTGTGATCAACTGTATGCTTGTGTGAGGTTTGAGTCGCGTGAATTGCAGGCTTGCTTACCGTTTGGATTCTATTGATTTGCTCTCGTGCCAGCAGGTTGATCGAGGTTCCGAACCCTTGAGAGGCAGCCTCAAAAATCAATGCGGACTGGGCGATAGCAACAACCTGAATGTATGACAGAAGTCATTAGCTTGTGATTGACTTTGAAAAGAAGTTTATCCCAAATCTTACCGTTGCCCCAAGAAGAACATAATCATCATACGCAAAGGGAGGACTGAGGGCCAGTCGCACATACACCCGGATGAGAAGACAGACTAACGAAACGACCAGCCCCAAGGCGGCGGTTATGATTATCCACGCACCATGATGCAGGTCATCCACCACCTGGAATGGTGGCGACTGTCCTGGAGGAACATACGGGCCCATGGCAGCATGAAAGCCCAGGGAGATGCTCAGCGGGAGACGGGAGGGGAATTCCAGAGCAAATACTCGCATTGATGGCAGCGGTCGAGTTTTATTCCTCTGAAGCGACTTTGATTCGATGCATAATCATTTCTATTTTGGCTGGCCATTTTTTCTGAGCCAAGGGGAGTATCCATCAGGTATGTGATGTGCACGCAAGAAAGACGGCATCGTGGCTGGCAGAAGCAGCCTGGCACATCTACTTTGGGTCTCAGAACTGACTTGTGACACAAACGCCATTGTTTTCATGCAAACCCCACTGAAGGGTAGGCGCAGAACAAGAAAAAGCAAATTACGACTCCAGTTGCGTCGAGCAAGAGGGTGTCGATAATGGGACACGATCATCCATCCCAAAACTTGAGGACTCGACCAGACGAAGGAAGGGGGGTAGTCTAACCATGTGGAAAAAAGTGACTCAGTTTCGAACCAAAATGTCGCGAGGGGACGAGACATTTTCAACAACTGCCACAGGGTAATTGTGCTTGACAATGAGACAGCCCTTTGGGGATCTACCAAGCCTCATCTACACCGCGAGATTAAGCTCAACCGAGGGGCTTGCCAGGGTGGTCGGTGCTGCTGCAGTCTCAGTCTGCGCTTTGAAAGGTGGCCGCATGGTTTTTGATGAAGCCCAGTCACTCCATTATCGAGTGACTTTCTGTGCAGGAGCACTGTGTGATGCCAAATTCTTCTCGTCCTTCACTTTCGGAGCAAAAGACCGCCCAATGTGGACAAAGGGATGGCCCTGTGATCACCACTTGCGGGTTACACAAGGGCTACGTGGGGGATGAGCTTTGCCTGCACCTCTTCCATTTCCTGAGCTTCGGGTCATACATTCCTCACCGCTGTCGTCCTGCGAATGGGAAGATCGGAAGTTAGCCATTCTCCAAAAAGAATGTATCTGGTATAAAGTACCGCATTTCTCGTTCAACCTCTCGTGGGTGGAGGAATGACATCCGGATTTGCTCCCACACCCCGTTTGGCTTCATGGTTTGTGGTGGCTCTTTTTGATCCTTGGCGCTATGCAAGGTGCCTTCAGGCTTCAGAAAAAGAAAGGCACGATTCAAACTCAAAATGGAGTCAATTGATCGCCATCGGGTCCTGAAAAGCGCACTATTGTTACCATTGTGTACCTCCTCGGACCAGGTCCGGGAGGGATGTACAATTATGCAATGTTGCACTGGCAAGTCCCATTGATTTCTTCGCCTCTCCTCTCCTTCCCACATGGCTCGGTGTCTTGTCTGCTCTCCTTGCTTTCAGGGTGATAACCATTGGTTCGGCTCTCTTGGTGAATACTGTAAAACATTGGCTTTCTTGTTTGAGGCAAACGAACCAGCGTCGCCATTTCTCTTTATCAGAAAAGAGTGCTCTTTCCTCTGTACCTTGAGCTGTATGCCGCCAGCTTGACTTACATGCTGAGATTTTAGCATCGATATCTGACTAGCTTTCAGTGCTCGCTCATCTGCAGTCCTCATGGCGCCTCAAGATACCCATCTCGAGGATGATCTCGCTCAAGAGGCCGGGTACTCTGCGAAGGGTCTTGTTGCCCCAAAGTATATGGGCACAGTTGCAGATCAACGAGACATGAGCGCGTTAGGGCGAGTGCAGGTTTTGCGGGTTAGTTTGTTAGATTTGCTGATGCACGAGACTCTCTAACGACGACATCAATCAGAGAAATTTCCGCTTCATCTCAATTCTTGGATTCGGCTGCACGCTGATTTCAACGTGGGAAGTCATATTGACGTCAGTTCATCCTGCCATTTCCCAGTGATCAGAGTAACTGACTCCGGAGTTGAAGGCTGTTGAGCTCCGCCTTGACTGACGGGGGCACGGCAGGGTTGATATGGGGCTTTCTTATTGTCACGGCAGGATTTGCCCTCGTTTTCGCCAGTATAGCGGAAATGGCTTCCATGTGAGCCTGTCTTTCTACCTTGGATCAAGCTCTTTTTGACAAATTTTAGGGCTCCAACCTCAGGAGGTCAATACCATTGGGTTTCTGAGTTTGCTCCCCGAAGGGGCCAAAAGTTCTTGAGCTACATTACCGGTAGGCGTCAAGAATTGGGCCTTGATTGGAGGAAACTGACGTAGATAGGATGGCTCAGTGCAACTGGATGGCAGTGCGCTATTGTATCAATAGCTTTCCTCGCTGGCACAATCATACAAGGGCTGATCGTTCTAAATGACCCGACCTACGCGTTTCAGCGCTGGCACGGCACATTGTTGGTGGTGGCAATAACGACATTTTCAATCTTGTTCAACACATTCCTGGCCAAAAACCTGCCCATGGTGGAAGGACTTATCCTGATCATTCATGTGGTAGGGCTGTTCGCCATCATTATCCCACTCTGGGTTCTTGCTCCTCGAAACAATGCGAAAGCAGTCTTTACGGAGTTCAATAATGCTGGAGGATGGAATAGTGATGGCACTGCCACTTTGGTCGGTCTCTCAACCACTATTACAGCCATGATAGGCTATGACTGCTCGGTACACATGTGTAAGTGCCGTGTCTTCTCTTTCTGTCCTCAAAAAGCATTACTGAACCAATTTCAAGCCGAGGAGATCAAGGATGCAGCGGAGACGCTCCCAAAAGCAATGATGTCCGCCGTCGCAGTCAATGGAGTCTTGGGATTTGTCATGATTGTCACTCTTTGCTTCACCCTCGGCGATGTTGACAGCATCTTGAGTACTCCAACTGGTTTTCCGTTCATCCAGATCTTCTACAACACCACCAACAGCCACGCGGCAACGAACGCAATGACCGCGATCTTGGTGATCACGCTCACCGCCAGCACGATCACTGAAGTCGCAACGGCATCCCGGCAGCTATGGTCTTTTGCCCGAGATCAAGGATTGCCATTTTCATCATTCTTTGCCTATGTGAGTCTCACGCCACCAGGCTCCCCAGGGCTCTGTCAGCGTTACTGATTGCTCCATGCAGGTCACCCCGGGATGGAACATCCCTCTCAACTCCGTCATGGTTTCTCTAGCAGTCACCATTCTTCTCTCCTTGATCAACATTGGCTCCCAGGTCGCCCTGTCCGCCATCATATCACTGACAATCACCTCCTTGATATCTGCCTACATTCTTTCAATAGGCTGCGTGCTCCTGAAGCGTATCCGGGGCGAGCCCCTGCCACCTCGCCGATGGACCCTTGGCCGCTTCGGTATGGCCGTCAATATTGCCTCTTTGGCTTTCTTGCTTCCCATCTTCGTCTTTTCCTTTTTCCCGTTGACGAAGACCGTAGACACGAAAACAATGAATTGGAGTGTGGTGATGTATGTCGGTATGCTTTCTTTTGCCTCCGTTTATTATATGATCTGGGGCCGGCATAATTTCATTGCTCCCGTGGCGCTGGTGAAGAGAGAGGGCAGACATTACGCCTGAGAGTTCACATACACAGGACCTCTGGCTTTTGATTTGTATTTTTATTCTTGTTATATAGATCATGACTTTAGTGTAATGAGGTACATAGCGTTTGTCAAGATTGAGCCGTGCGCTCGAGTTCAAGTAACTTTTCGTTAAAATAACAAGATGAGGTACATCATTAAATGTCCTCAGACGATTTACAGGAACGATGCCGTCGATTTGCAGCTAGAACTTTAATAGAAGTTCCGTGCGAGTCATGCTCGTAAACGCTGCGATAGTTTCGCTACCAAAAGAATAAATATTGAAACGCCATTACATCAGCTACATGAGCTGAGATTGACTCCCCGAGCTGGCTCTTCTCGTCCCAGTCCTATCGACGGCATCTTGAAAACATCAGTTGAACTCCGCGTCTAGCCAGAGAGTCCCCACCCAGCTAGACGCATCACTTTTGTTCATTAAGACAGAGACGGAGACTATAATACCCCTATTAAAGCAATAGAGGCCAACGTAAGCCCGACCACCGGGTCAATGACTCAGCCATGGGATCTGATAACTAAGGGACAAGTCAGGGGGAATCGCGCTCGGATGAAATTCCTATTTGCCGATGGACTTGGCTAGTGCCTGAAGGTCGAGCTTTTGCATTAGTGGCGAGCATCATCGATGTTCATGGTTCAGGTGAATGGTTGGATTCAGGTTGTGCTATTATGTTTGGACAAACTGAACTTCGTCTTTCAAGCTGTGTCGCGAAGTTTCAAGAGGTTGATGGATGAGATTGTTCGGTGAGAGTCGTCTTGCCTGGGGTAGTTATAGATTTTCTTGACGGCCTTATACAGACTCATTGCACCAGTGCATCTAGTGGCACAGTCCTTGGTTCCATATTTATCAGATCAAACAGTCTGTGACTGACTTCGTATCACTTTGCTATCTGATTGATATGATCGAGTCCGATATCGGCATGTCCCCACTTTCCGAAATGAGCTGTCACATGAACATTACTGGTGTCATTATTGCGCATAGTGGAGGGTGTCATTTTGGCGTAGAGTGATGGGCTTCGGCGAATGATCTAGCTGGGACCCATAATAATAGGTAACTCTTGTCAGGCTAATATCAATGATTCTTAATGTTCTTGGGAGAAGTGATATCGAGGTCGGTTTGCAAAAGAGCATGAGTCCGGATCAGATAACCCACATACCGACCATCCATTTTCAGAGTCCTCCAAAAAACAGGTGGACGGGGCCGAACCCGCCTCCGTAATGGGTATCTAAAGCGGGATCTAATCCTGCACATACAATAATATTTACAACTCATACGAGTAGCAAGATTCTGGTGGGAGACTTAGCCGAGGGCCGACGTAAGTCATTCGATTTTCTGTAGGCGAGGGCCAAGGGAAGCTGGCGACCGGATCAGATTAGATCGGTGAACGGTAAGGGGAACCGGCTGCCGTTGGTCGTACGGATTACAGTCCGATACACATTCGCAAGACACTGCCGTCCTGGAGTACTCCAGATTTCATCGCTTGAAGGTACTAACTAGCACTCCGTACGGTAGTGAGATGGCTAAATTTGTATCTGGCTCAGCTGTCCATTCAGCTGCTGACAATTAGCATCGGGTATCTAACTTGGTGGTAGGTTAATGTAAGAATGATCCGCTTAGCTGCAGGAGCGGATCTTAGTAGGACGCGGTGAGACCAGATACGAATGATAATATTGTTTGAAGACAATTAAAGCAGTGGCAGTCTACAGAAGATCCCATAAGAACAATGAATTGCTTGATTGCGTCAGATACAGTCAGCCTGACTACTGAGTGAGCAAAGTTACAGAGTGTACCTACGTGAGTGACATTCCGGATGGCAGCGAGTGGCAAAGGTTGCGACGGCCGGATCGGTAATCTGATCTTCCTCAACTTCCAATACCAATATTATTAAGAACATTCTGCCCTCCACTCTATACTTATCTCATCACTCTCCATCTAATCCTCCTCCTTGCATCTATAGGATTTCATCCTACTCTTGAGACATCAATTCTGACTTTTGGAGACATTCTGCTCGATATTCATAGTATCTGATCCACCCACTGTTACGCATCATTACCTAGCGCAGCGGAACCGCCATCCCGGCGCCGGTTTTTGCCCCAGGCAGGCCTCTTTCGTTCCCGCCATCATCCCACCCAATCCCGATGATAATTAACTGATCCCATTCCTTTTTCCTCCGCGGACCAACTCCTCCCAGCATCTCCCCATCTCGCTCACCCTTCTCTCCTACTATCCTGTCGAGTCTGCATGTCCGCGGCTTTGGCGGCCCCCGATCTGTCCGGTCCTGACAGTCTTTGCAGCTCAATTGCTGGTTTTCGTTAAGCTTTTCTTCATCCGATCTTTACTGCTTGTGCAGTCAGCCAGCCGTTTTGTCTCGGCTCTACGCTCGTCTCTTTTCTTTCTCCTATCCCCTCACATCCTTCTACTCTTCTGTTCCTCGACAATTAATTGCCGTATCTCCTTTTCGAAACTTCCCAGCCGACACCATGGGTACGTCGCACCTTTGCTCGGCCCTTCGGTTCTCATTGACATTTGAGACTGTCCCTGACCCTTCAATATAGTGCACGCCGTTTTACCACCAACGCTGTCCTCGAGAAAGGATTCGAGGTTCAGTCACTCTAGCAATGGGGACTACCGAACCATCCCGGTCTCTTCCACCTCCCACCCGGACAACCCAGTGCCGGAAGAACCTCGCGTTCGGTCACTGTCAATCACTGATACTAGCTTCGACGGCTCGTCACCCACTCAAGAAACCGAAGGCTCGACCGACTCTGATACCCCATCGACTCCTCTTACTCCCCTAGATGAAGAGCAGCCTGATTCACACGAAAGACGAAAGTCATCAGCAGAGAGCGGAAATGGGCAGCAGAGACGAGCATCCACTGTCCTCATCTCACAGAACTCCGAGGATATGAGACGAGTCTTGGAGAGCGTGGGTACTGCAGGCACCCAGAAGGTTCAGCCTCTCTGCTGCGGTGGTGGATGCTGTCGCAGCCAGCCGTTGACCAAGATCCGTGGACCTGTGCCTGGTGCTGACGCTGTCACTGCTCCGGACAACGAAGCATTCAGAAAACTCAACCTCAATATTGACTACCTCACATTGGACAGTGAACTGACCAACATTGTTCCCATACCGGAGAAGACAGTGTCCTTCTCACCGGTACCAGCATCGGCCTTGGATCTGAAGCTGGGTCCCCCGGATCACCCGCCCACTTTCGTTCAGCCACATCCCCCATACAATGTGTACCGTGCACCTTTGCATCACGCCCGAGAGCTCACCAAGCCCGGGGCGGAGAAGCGGACTTTCCACTTTGACATTGACGTGACCGACTACCCTGCGGAGAGTGGGAACGTTGATTTTGTCGTGGGTGGGGCGATTGGTGTCTGCCCAAAAAATAAGGAAGAAGAGGTTGATGATATCTTCAACCTGCTTGGTATCCCCAAGTCCATCCGTGACAAGAAGATCACCTTGCATACCACCAAGGGCCGGTGGCCTACGATTTGGGGCGATGACCAACCTCGGGACCTGATCACCACCCGGAGAGAGCTCCTGAGCTGGTGCTCCGATATTCAGAGTTACCCACCCACCAAGCCTCTGTTCCGACTACTCGCCGAGTACGCAACCGAACCCAACGAGAAGAAGATACTCATGTTTCTCTCTTCAGCCCAGGGCCAGGGCGCTTTCTGTGATCTCCGCACAGGATCCTACATTACCGTTTCCCAGCTACTCCACGCATTCCCCTCCTCTCAGCCGCCCCTCGACCATCTTCTATCCGTTCTGAACACCCTGATGCCACGCTTCTACTCCCTGTCGCAGGACCCCCAGATCTCCTGCCAGAGGAAGGATACCAAGTGCCGTAAACTCGTTGAGATCGCAGTGTCTGTGGCGGAAAGCGAGGACTGGAAGGGCGGTCTTCGGACCGGGGTCGGATCCGGATATCTTGAACGGCTCGCCAAACAGGCCATCGACGCGGAGCAGAAGGGCATTGATCCCGGGAGACTCAATCTCCACGTTCCCATGTTCCGTGGCCTGATGGCCAATCCTCTGGCCAAGCGATTCGCCTCCGACGGTCCCATGCTCCTCATCGGCGCCGGTGTCGGTATCGCGCCGTTCCGAGGGTTCGTCCAGCGCCGTCTGCAGTCGGCTAACTGCGCCAACAAGGTCTGGGTCTTGCAGGGGATTCGCGATTCCCTTCTGGATGAGCTCTACAGCGGCGAATGGGGTGTTGAAGAGGATAAGGTGCGGACGGTCGTGCAGAGCCGTCGCGGCGAGAGCAAGTACGTCCAGGAAGAGGTCCGTCATCAGGCCGACCTCGTCTGGTTCGTCATCAATGCCCTTGACGGACGTGTTTTTGTCTGCGGTAGCGGCAAGGGCATGGGCGAAGGCGTTGAGGCGGCCTTGGTGGATGTGGCTATAGCCAAGGGGAACCTGAATCGCGAGGAAGCGGAGCTCTTTTGGCAGAACAAGAAGGAAGCCGGTCAATATATTGCCGTGAGTTGCGCCTTTTCTTTCAGGGAGAAAGGAAAAATCCTTGGGAGGAATTTGCTAACAACACATAGGAAACCTGGTAATTCCCGTCCGTGTACATTATTCTCCAGCTCGGCCTCTCAGCATTTCATTCCTCGTTTCAGCGCATCACCAGAGTTGATCTCGGCTGGACCACGGTGATGCGATTGATTCAAATACTTGCGCCGCAGGGTTTATTTCCTATGCTGGTTCAATCAGGTTGGTTAGGTATTATGTGATCTTGGGGGATTTACCTATTGATTTCAGTCTGTTTTAGCGGGACGGTTCATTCACTTGATCTGTTTCTTATTGTCTGCGCAGGTTTTTGTCGGACGATCGTCTGTTTCGATTTTATCATGGGTATATACGCATATTCACATCATAGATTTACTTGAGACGGTAGCAATACCAAGGGCAGATGCATTTCACATCGCTGTACATCCCCCGGCATATTGCGATGCAGCGTAACTTGGCCACAGGT